AGCGGTCACACACCTGCAAGAGCTTCTGATCACGGGGCAGAAGCCTCAGTTATTTCTCTGCAGGACCTTTGAGGGGTGAGTGGCATTTGAATAGTGACGGGTTGCTGATAAAAGTCACAGGAGCCCGATGCCAGATAGAGCTGCTGCAGCACAAGCCGTGAGCTCCGAGTCCCAGCCCTCTGACAGCTCTCCCGACGCCTCAAACAGAGCTCTGCGCCGCGGTGCAGACGCCGGGTAGCATCCTGCCGGGAGGGGGTCTGCCAGTCGTCCCCCCCACCTGACTGCAGGCACGCGAGCGGAAGAGGAGGCTTGAAACACCCCTCCTCCAGCAGACAGCACCCCACATTTGGCCACCACCTAACTGATGCAGCCAGCAATCGCCTGGAGCGCATTGCATCGCTCCGCTCTTTTTTGTGATTCTTTATCTAATCAGTCTTCCCATTTCGTCTTTATTCCTCCCGTGGGGGGAAAGGGAGAGCCAATGCACATGAGGAATGCTGGGCACATCACGGCAGTACAGCGAGCTATTACCTAGCAGGGATTTTATCAAGCATCCGTATTTGAAAGCTTTATTCCAGCAGCAGAAACGGGAAGGGAGTTTTCTGATACTTCAGGGGACAAATTAAGATATTCATTTTCTTTAAGAATTAAAATATTCAAACGCACGCTCTTTTGGGCATTGACAATAACCAGTGAGATCTGCCTCATCTCTTACTTACCGCTGCATGGGAGCTAACCGATATCTTTAGAGCAACCTCCTGGGATACTCAGCATCACAGCATGCAGAGAGCTTGTTAAGGCATTTGCTCATTTGGGCACCTGCAACTTCATTACGAGTCAATATCCCAGGGCCAGCTCCTCAGATCAGCGCTGCCCTACAGTGAAGCCCAGCTAAGAGAGCAGTACCTGGCACTTGCACAGGGATGGACAAGAGGGCAAAGGCACAGCACACGTATCCAAGAAAGACAGACACACAGTTGCACAAAGCACAAAAAATAAGGGCAGTGTTTTGTTGTATGTCAAGTTGAAAGCAAAAATATGCTGCAAACACTCTGATTCTTTTGTCATTTTTCCACTACACTTGCCCTTGGAAATAATACTGTTTAATATCGCATGACTGACATCAAATTATTTTTTATTCTTGGCAAAATAGTGCAGAAGAAAAGAAGGTACCTATTGGTCGATGATTCGGAGGAGACGAGACAGCGATTGGAACTGACTATTCCTGTTTGGCAAGATAAAAACATCCCCCTTTCATACGCTGTTTCCCTCTATTTTCTTACAGAGAAATGTCTTATTTTGCATGCACAAAGGAGCCAAGATTTCATTGCCTGGCACAAAAGCTGCAGATCTGACTGGGCTGTGCTAGACAGCCAGCAGATAAATCCCCTTTCTCTCCAAGCGCCGGCTCGGTAAGGACGCTGCTGACCAAAACAAACCATGCCACGGGGGAAGATGCATTACCAGCACAGCCCGGGAGCTCATGACTGCTGGTTTCCAGTAGGCTCTTCCACAGGGACCTTTGCCAGCTCAGAGCGTGAGGCTCAGCTCCGCGCACCCCTCTGCACAGCTCCTCGGCACGGGCAGAGCCCCAAGGCCCCAGCAGCCCCCCGGGATGCCCCAGCAGCCCCCCAGGATGCCCCAGCAGCCCCCCGGGATGCCCCAGCGCCCATGGGCAACCGGGCTGGCCCCGGCTCTGGTGCTCCCTGCTCAGAAAACCAAAGGAAAAAACCACTCAGGAGCACGGGGGGAATCCAGGCTGCTCCTGACACTGGTGAGCAGGCTGAGCTGGGTGGAAATGCTGAACTATTAAGCTGCATGCACCACACCAGTACGGAATTTCTCCTTCGCAGTGTTTCACTTTTCTCCAGAAAGTTCAAGTCAATTCAAAATGAAAAGTTTTGCTCTCTGCAAAAGGTGTTTTTACTGTGTGCTTTGGTATTGACAGTATGTTTTTCTCAGTCAAAAAGCTGAAGCAAAGTAACTTTAGAAGATTAAATGAAAATTTATTTGCAGAAAAATTAATCTTCTGAAATTGAGATTTTCCATGTGAAAAGAATCAGTTCTGACCATAGAGTGCTTCATAAAATAAAGAAGGGGGAGGAGGTGTGAAAATTGTGACCAGCTACTTTTTAATTAGGAAGAAACAGTGAATTTTACATTCCTGATATTAACTAATTGGCTTGCAGCAAGGGCTGGCAGTCTCAGGCAGGATGGAGCTCAGGTACATTTGACACCACAGTTTTTTATGAGAACAGTCACGTTGCAAATCCTGATGTTATAAGAGTGAATATTCTGAGCACTGACTTAATCAGGGAAGAGAAACACCTTACGAACAAGGCACCTGGCAGAAAGAACAGCCTTCTCTGTTTGCAGGGCAGATGTGCAGACCAAGCTCCTTCTGAAAGAGCATCGGAGCAAGAATTACTTGCAGAAATTATTCTCTAGTAATTTTCCATGATTGATGCACATGGGGAAATTGCATACTGCTTGTCCAATGCCCGGCTAGATAAAGAAGCCAAGTTCACCTAACAAGTGACTCTTCACAATTTGCTCAGGTCTCTCCAGACCCCATCCAGCTCTCATCGGGAAGGGGCTGGGTGTGCTACAGAGCAGTTTCCCGTTCACATTTGCAATCAGAGCACAGAGACGACTCGGGAACCTCCCCTGCAAGGCTCGATGCTGCTCCGAGCTCCGGCCACCGAAGGTTCCGTGCACGGGGTGCACATCCACTGTGCCCCGCAAGAGCAACTCCTGGGCACGCCTGGCACCCGGCACCACTGTCCCCGTAAGACCTCAGGGAAGATTCTCAGCCTCTCACTGTGGCTGTGGGGTATGAGGAGGGTGCGGTGACCAGAACAGATGCTCCAAAGCACCAAGCGTCCCTGCCAAGAGCCGAGGCTGTGGCTGGGACATGGCAAAGCACGGCACCGCTGCGGGACAAGGCCACCTCCAGCCCCTGGGGTCACCTCTGTCCCTTGGGGTCACCTCCGTCCCCTGGGGTCACCTCCGTCCCCTGGGGTCACCTCCGTCCCTTGGGGTCACCTCCAGCCCCTGGGGTCACCTCCGTCCCCTGGGATCACCTCCAGCCCTTGGGGTCACCTCCAGCCCCTGGGGTCACCTCCATCCCTTGGGGTCACCTCCAGCCCCTGGGGTCACCTCCGTCCCCTGGGGTCACCTCCATCCCTTGGGGTCACCTCCGTCCCCTGGGGTCACCTCCAGTCCCTGGGGTCACCTCCAGCCCCTGGGGTCACCTCCAGTCCCTGGGATCACCTCCAGCCCCTGGGGTCACCTCTGTCCCCTGGGGTCACCTCCAGCCCCTGGGCCAGCAGAGGAGACCCCGGCCAGCTCTGGGCCAGTCCCCCTGCCTGGCTCGCTCTCCCCATCCCTCTGCTTTGCGTTACGCAAGCCAGCAGGCAAGGTTAGGTAATGACATTATTGTGCTGAATGTCTACAGCATCTGCTGGGATTTCACAGGGGATGACAAATGAGCACAACACCTCGCACTAGAAATATACAACAAAAAAAGTGTTGTTTTCCACATTTCAAAAACATCTGCTATGAATTAATGATCCAGCTCATACCTACAATTACAGGCACAGAAGAAAAGAGATTGGCTGAGCACCCCATTGCTCACCAGTCACTACTTCTGTTTCTGCAGCAATGCTTCTGCCTCCTGTAGACAAAATTTGGCATCTGCATCGCCCATTATCAAGATCTGGAAGGTGTCCCTAAAACGGCAGCTCCCTAGAACTGCAGCCTTAGACTCCACAGCAGCTGCCAGGGATCTCTGCTGCGCATCGAGGGCAGCCAGAGGAGTGTTTAATTCACCAAAACAGACACGTCGAGTGCCTTACAAGTAAGTGTGTTTTATTGTTCACATTGTTCATTAGTGCAGCACAGTATCCTTGATACCATGCATTGATTAAGCTTCTTATATGTCTCCACCAGCCACACTGAGACAAATGTCTCCCCTGTATATCCATTGCTAAACGCCTCAATCAGAGTAAGTTTGGGAAACTTCATCTTCCTGGTCTCTTAGCACAGATTCTGATTTTGTTGAAATACTGCAGACACTGATAGTCTTAGTGCACTCAGAAGCAGGGGCAAAACGCAGCTAAGCCTCGCAGCCCCCGTGAATGCACAAGTCTGATCTCTGAACACTTAACACCACACAAAGGGGGACCAGGTCTCTGCTCTAACCCTCTGTGTGAAACCATCGCACAGAGCGATCCTGCACACTCCTCTTCACCTGAGCATGAATGAGAAAATTTCTGTTCTCCTTTCAGGTTAAGGCCAAGACAGCTCCTCACCACGACGAGGATCTACATCTTGCTGCCGCAGAACTGCTCAGTGCACATTTCCCACACCCCAGGGAGAAGGTGCCGAGACACAGACAGGTTTCCTTTCTCGGCAGATTTCACAGCATCATATCCTTCAGTAATTTCCTCCCTTCTTTAATACGAATTAATTTAATTTTGTTTTGAAGATCGGCAGTGCTGCTAATTGCTCTTCTAATGTCTCTAATAATATATTCTCTCTAATTGTTTATTACTTGCCTACCTCTTAAGTGCTTACATTCACAAATACTATTTTATTCTCTGCACAGTGATTCCTAGTCAGCAAAGCATAGCACAGCACATTTAATATAAAAACTTGATTTCATTTTGCTGAACTTTTAATCAATCTCCTTGTCAACTACGTTTCTTTGAGAACTAGCTTTCAGTCATGTTCAAATTGCAGCCCGACTTTGCAAATTTAGACAGAAGAGAAAACCAGACATGCAGCAGACAACATTGCAGTGACATAATTTACAGAATAAGACACCAGCAGTAAAACCAGTCTTTTGAATCTTGAGTTTTCAGAGATGAACTTTAAATGCTGGTATAGCTGCTTGCGGGGCAGGCAGTAGCTGACACCACCCTGTAAAACATGCGCTGAAGAGGCAGCGACAGAGGAGCCCGAAACGGGCAGAGCGGGGTTACCAGAGAGCATCCTACCTCGTAATGGGCCACGCGCTGGGACTCGGATATCAGCTGAGCGCTGCACACCTTGCAGTAACTTTCAGTGAATAATTCCTGGTCGATGTCAGACGATTTCATCTGTTCACAGCAGAGAGAAGAGACAAGCAGAATCAATTACAAAAGGCGGGCAGAACAGGGCATGTTTGGAAAGGGTCCCTCCAGAGACACGGGCAAAGCAACGCCTGAGCCGAGCGGTTCTTGTCCCCACAAGGGAACAAAACCAACTTCATACAGGTGCAAACGCGAAACGCGGACAGTCCCTACCACGTTCCCAACGTCTGCAATTCAGAGTCCCCGGTCTATGCACAACCAGCCAGTGCCGAGCGTTCGGTCCTCGCCCTGCAGCATCTCCCGGGGACCAGTGGCACGTCCCTGTCCCCAGGCCTGCAGGAAAGGAGCACCAACCCGTCACACCCCCCGGCCACCGACACGGCACAGGCTGCCGCGCTGCTCTGGAATGACATTAATGTGTGAGCTACAGCTGTAAACGGCTGTTGTTCTCCATTACATTTCATATCTAGAAATACCACACACATAACCAGCTATAACATATACCACTCGTGGCTTGAAACACACTTAACCATTTGTTACACAACACAAAAGAGTTTTCTATAAAATGCAAACATCACTACAACCTGGAGGAAGGTGTTTTTAAGCTGGAAGGGTGTTCTGCTATATTTCTCAATTTAGATGTGGAAGGAAATTGCTTGGGTGATTTATTGGGCTGTGCTGTTCTCAGGCAGCTGTTTAAATATTTGTGCGTTCCCCACAACTTCCAACGAGGACATCTGAACTTACAAAAACAGCTTGCTGAGTGATCTGGCTCACAACGATGCTTCAGTTCTCTGTTTACACCTTCCTTGTTAGGCAAGCAATTGCAGGTATCCAACTCTGAACCGATAACCAACGTGCATATCAGGAAGGCTGAGGCTTGTAAAAGACTGAACCCAGGCAGAGCCAGAAAACACCAAAGTAGCTACACAGATAGCATATGTAAAAGCAAAAAAACCCAGTGCAATTCAAAGGGAAAATAGTGGCCAATGTCTTCTGACAAATGCCAAGATAAAGTCTATTAATTCACAATCACAACAAACCTGGGCATAATGAAGACTGATCATACAGTTTTTACAGAGTTTACTCCACTGATTGGGAAGAAAACCAACATGGAAATGAAACAAGTTATGAGAACAAGTTATTAGAAGAAAAACAATGAGATGGAGGAAGACCTGCCACAGCTGGGCTGTGCAGCGGAGCTCCGGGCAGCACTCGCTCTGCCTTGGGGCTGGGGACGTCCCCAGCATCCCCAACCTCCCCGGACGCCGTCCTGCGCCCAGGGTGCCGGTCCCTTGGGAATGAGGTTTTCTGTGCACGTCTGCCTGCCAGCCACCGCAAGAGCTGCCGAGCTGGAGGGGGCTGCACCGAACCCCCAAACGAATTGCAGTCTCAGCGTTACCAAGATCCCTGCACATTTTATGAAAACAAGCAGCTGGGTCGGCACCAGAGGCTCCCAGCCTGGAGAGACCGACTTGTCCCCAGCTCCAGGAAAAGGCTCAGTCGGGTGTTCATGGTCTATCAGACAAAAGGAGCAAATCTCAGAGCTCCTCTGCTGGTGCCCTTGCTCTCTGATTCTACAAAGACATTTCCTTGTTTTCTCTTGCTATCTGCCTAGGTTTAATAATCTTCATTTACTCTGTCTAGAGAAAAGCTGCATTGAGAAACTTTCAAAGGTACCAAAAGGCCCTTTTAGAAGTACAAGCAGTATTGTAAAATTGCATGAAAGGCAAAATAAAGTGGGGGGAAGAAATCTCACTTAAATACAACAGATTGACATAAGGCAAACCAAAGAATCTCATTAAACCTCAATCCAGCAACCAAGACAGAGGCAGGTAATATCACCTTCATTTGCATGCAGTTTGCAGTGCTCACAATATAAACTCTCATTGCAAAAATCAAAGTAAATCAAAAGCTGCTCAGCTTATTACGTATTAGCTTAGCCCTTCATGCTCTGATAACAGATCCCAAGTCTATTCTGCCTCTAACATATGTGCATATGAATGGAGTTGTCTGCCCCCCTTTATAGCAGCAGAAGCTAAACAGGCTTATCCAGGAACAGGATTTAATGTCTTTTCTCTAGGCAGTAGCTTCTGATACAGGTATAGGATTTGTTAGCCTCAATATTGCCTGTTAGGTTTTATATGCCATTGTTACTACACAAGGATGTAATGCATCACAACAGGTGAACACAGTTATTATGCTGACAATGTGAACGTTATGCAGCGTGATTCATGTGTAACTATTCAAGTTACCTAATAAAGTCTCTCTGGAACGGCAGACCCTCGAGTGACGCATCAAGAGCAGAGTCACAGGCCACCCACGACGGGAGCACCCGCAGCGTGCCGTCCCTGCAGGGACTCCGGTACCGGCGGGTCCCACCCTGCTGCACAAGGCCACGGAGAGCAGAGTTTTAACGGGCAACAAATCCTCACCACAACACCGCGCGTGCCCTTCGGCCACGGTGCCGGAGCTCTGCCGCCCGAGGTGGCCGCGGGCCCTTGGCTGAGGCCACGGGGCAGCTCTGGGCCAGCGCTGGCACCTGGCAGTGGCTCTGCCCCGGCTCGGGAGCGCAGGCAGCGCTCACCAGCACCCACACGGCCCCACCAAGGGGCTCAGTCCCTCGCTCGCTTCGGCTCTTTTCGGCTGCAACTGCCTTTTCCTACCACCGCACATGGCCTGACCCGATCCACACCCTTCGCACAGGACCAGCGTCCCGCCACCCAGCACATCTCCCGAAGGAAGAGCTGTCTCTCGCCACAGCCCTTCCCTCCCCACGCAGCAAACCCCCGAGCCGTGGCGTGGGGCAGCAGCTGCTTCGCTCCCATTCTCCCGCCCCGCTCCCGGGTCCCCGCTGCTCTGCCCGCCCGCCACGCGAGCAGCGCAGCGGGGCGCAGCTCTCCCCCGCCCGCTCTCCGCAGCGGGACGGCCGGGCGCTGGGCTGCTCTCGCCTCCTCAAACAGCCCGGCGGGTCCCACTGCTGTCTCCGAGTTGCCGCGCTCTCACTGAGCTGCCGGCAGAAGGACGGGGCGACCCCTCTGCCCCCAGTGCCGTGGGGGGACCGGGCCTTGTTGCTGGACTTCACACACCGGACACACGAGTGAGCAGCAGTGCCGCAGGAGATCCTGCTTCACCAAAATCTCTCCATGGCCCTGGGAAGCCCAGCAAGGCCAGGCTCGCTACAGCTTGCAGGGTGGCAGAGTCCCCTTGTCAGGGAGCAGAAACGTAACTGCGTGTCCTCCTTGTGCACAGGATCCCAGCACAGGGTCTCGCGGCTTGTTTTTGCATGCATTGCTTTTTAACAGTGATGAGAAGGACAGCAAGGCAGAGGAGTGAAGGATGGACATGAAGAGGAACAGGAGAATAAATGGAAGCAAAGACTCCTTCGTGCTTTTGCAGGAGTATATTAGGCTAAACTGTAGAGAGGATTCAAGCATATGTAAGCTTGACTACTTAAAATAATTAGAAAGCTCTGGTAACAATAACTGCTTTGGGCAAAATTTATTATGAAGGTTTTGACAGAAATAATAGATTCACCTTAGCAATGAAGCTTTCCACACAAGCAATCCACCACCAGCACCCATTTATACAAATCACGCTTGCAAAGCTGCCACTAAAACCTAGACAGCCTGAGAACACGTTTAAACTCAAGCACCAGCTATTCACTTGAGAAAACAAACTTCTACCTGTCCCCACACAGATGCAATAGAAGAGTAAAAGTCTCTTCCCCTTCTCAGCAGCCTCCTAATCGTGTCCCTGCTGCTGGAGAGCCCCCGCACAGCCTCACTGCCCAGAGTCCCTTCCTGACACTTCAAACGCGGCTGGTGCGACCTGCTGCCTCTCAATAAAGCTTTTATGTTTGGTGGCTGTTAGCTGGTTCCCTGGCTTTCCTTAAAATATATTTTTTTCTGTACTCCTCTACTTTCCCTCATAAAGAAACAGGCTAGAGCAGTACCTCAAAAGGATGTCCAGGTTATATGCAGTGAAATGAAGGCATGGACATGCTGCATAAAATGAGTTCATAGGCAATTAATATTTATATATTTCTAATCACTTAATTCCACTATGACTCTCCCTGCCTCCAAGTGCCTAACAGCCCCCAGAACTGACCGGAGCCTTTGGCTGATGCTCACTACACAACCCATCTTTGTCAAAAAAAAGCATGGGAAGAAGGTTTTTCTCCACCACCAGCCATGAGAATGTCCGCAGCCGTAAAGCACCACGCACCTTGAAGAGAACCGCAGATGCTGACCAAGGAGGGACACGTTCCCTGCATGCTCTCAGAGCCTTTTCTCACTGAGATTTGAAGAATTAAAGTGCAATTCGCAGCCTTGCCAGCTGGACTCAAATCGTCCAGCTGAGCAGAAGCTCTTGGTCTGCACACCAAAGTCTAAATATCTAAAACTCTTGGTCTCCTCCTCACGTGGGGACACGAACAGCGGGGCCTCCACCACAAACTCTGATCACTTTGTGTGCTTTCAGTGGGGTTTATTATTGCCTCTTGTGCTGGCACTTGAGGGCCGAGGCCCCCCCTCCCTGCTTCAGAGCAGTAACCTCTGCACATGTCAGCTCAGCATCTCCAGGAACGGCAAACTGTGTCATAAGAGACTTCGTTTTAAATACTTTGTGCCATATGGCTACGATTCTTCTCAGCAGCTTCAGTGTCTATAACAGCTTAATGAAAATCAATCTGATGGGGCTGATTCCAGTTTTTGGCAACTGCTAGAAAGATGCTAACTAAGTTGCATTAAATTTTAGAGGAGAGCAATCCACATATTGACGTTAGAGACATATTCAAAGCCAAATTCCTTTTTAAGGATGCCACTGAATCCCACCAGACACGGACACATGCTGAATGTGTACCTATCACAAAGGAGAGTGGTGGAAGTGCACCTGCAATAAGTGCTTTTGCAATCCAGACCCAGCCAGGACAGTAAAACTGCTTCAGGACCTCAGCTCCGTCAGGAGCACCAGCTGGACGGGTGGGAGCTGGAGCAGCCCTTCGCTGTTGTGACCACCCTCGGGCT